TTCCAATAAATCATTTCTAAATATAAATAAATAATAAAATAACATTTCCATTTCCAAAATAAAAAATCATCTTAATAAATAAATACTATTTTTTATATAGTACATTAACTATATAAAACATAATAAATATTGAGCAGAAAATAAACTTATGTTTGTGACTTATTAAGTATAATTTTAAGTATATTAAGCATATTAAAAGAGAAAGACTTTGCCTTTTTAAACTCATATTGTAAAATATATTTTATTTCAGTCTTGTTTAGAGTTGTCCTATATTAGGCTGTCTTGTATTGTACATTTCCATTTAATTAAAAATAAATAAATAAATAAATAGCTGAGGCTCTCATCAAAAAACACACTGAACTACTAAAGACAATAATCAACAATATTCTGCCTTTGTTTTCATAAAAATTGAACTTTTCTGCTTTTGCAATGTAAAAAACAAACTTAAATAAATATTTAAATAATAGTCAAATCAATAAATAATGAAACAAACACATAAATAAATAAAGTCATTTCCATAAAACTTTCTTCGTTGTCTTTTCAGCTTATGGTTTGAGATATATTATATTGAGATGGCTTTCTCTTAAATAAAAGAGATCATAATTATATTATGTGTACATGTAACCTGCAGTTGGAGGAGCACCGCTCGGACCAGAAACAGCTGAAGGTCCTGCAGAAGAAACTTCTCCAGGTGCTGAAGGAGAAGGATCAGCTTCAGAGCGAACACAGCCGAGCCGTCCTGGCCCGCAGCAAACTAGAAGGCCTGTGCAGAGAGCTGCAAAGACACAACAAGACGCTAAAGGTGACAATATCATGGATATGATTGTGTTTAAACATCTGAGCTTGTTTGAACCACTGGTGTCTGCTAATGAGCACAAATCAAAACCTGTAATCAATATTAAAAATCAAAAGTGTGACAGTATAAGGGTCATGTTTTCCATTTTGAAACATTCTTCAGTGTTAAGCAGTTGCACTGAAACCACAGTTTTTTACTATACAAAATCACAATACACTGAAAAAAATGTGATTGTAGGGTTTACGCTAAAACAATTTTCACTCAGAAATTGCTAATAAATTCACACATAATACATTGAATTTAACATGACATTTTGAAGTAGAAAGACTTCATACTCTAATAAAAACATTTTAAATAAATGATAAAGTTATGTTTACTAAAACTTTAAAACATTGACAAACAACTCGTATCCACCATCACGAATTTGGTGCAGGAGGAAACTCTACAGCGGTGCCGTGAAGATGACCTGAAGCGGAAGGAAATCACCACACATTTCCAGAGCACGCTGACGGACATCCAGGCCCAGATCGAGGAGCACAGCAGCCGAAACAACAAACTGTGCCAGGAGAACAACGACCTGGCTGAGAAACTCAAGGACCTCATATCTAAATATGACCAGCGAGAGGCGGTGAGGGAAAACGACAGGACGTCAGTCTGATTTGACCTG